CATTCTGTACTTTTTTAACAGTTTGGTGTTCAATAGCGACGATATCAACTTTGCCGGGCATCCAAGGCTTCCCCTTCACGAACGTCAAATCTTTTGTCGATGGCTCTCTGGCCGTCTCTACCGGTGTCCCTTACTTCTACATGGCGCCGGCTGATTTCACAGCGAAAGATTTGTCGGTAATATTTTTTGCTTAACCTCTAGATGTCTGGAATCGCTCGAAACTTTTAACACAACAACGTTAACGCCGTTTTGAGCGATTTTATATACTTAAATTAATCTGACGAGAAAAAAACTTTATATGGTGTTCGTGTGTGACAGCCCTAAGCCCTATTTACATTATGCTTATATAAGTGAGGTAAATGACACTTAATAATACTATGAAAACACTTAATCATTTAATACTATATGTAGAACGCGGAGACCTACGTGACGCGCGCACTAAAATCTGTTTAATGTAAAATGCTTTGCGCTAATTACTTTGTATACCTATGTAAACAGATAACGTTTTGATATACCTAAGTAATACGTAAAACGTTTTGATAGTCATACTCAGGGCGTAGAAAGAGTAAGAGTGAAATTTCTTTGGGTAACTCTGCCGGCGAAATTGACCAACAGAAACTTGAAAAATCTTTTTGCAAATCTACTATGCATTCGATGGGGATGTACCGTATTATGGTTAAGCTACGTAATGAAATTTCTCATATATTTTATTTTACCCTCCTAGTATGGTCAGTATAAGTATATAGGTACTAATCTGATTCATGTAGCACACCTCAAGGAAATGCACCATTAAATCTGATAATTAGGCGAATAATGATAGCTCTAAAACCTTTTACCAGAATAATATACATTTTGTCCTATAGAAAAACAGCCGCACCACAGTACTAGTGTCGCTAGAAGAGACAGGGTATTGCTCTAAGCAGCAATACGACCCTCAGGACCCGCGTTGCACGCGGCTCATGCTCAGCGGAAAGATGAAGAGGGTAAGCAATATTTTATCTTTGTTTAATCAAGATACAGGAAAATAAATGGACGAGTATGGTACGTGTTCGTCAAAACGTAAATGCACCTAAATGTAGAGAGAACAATTTCGTTTTCACAAATAACGGATCTAAACCTAAAGGATTAAATGATGTCTATTGACATGCTAAATGGCACAGACATTATATCGCGGTACACTATTGGGTATGTATGATAAGCTGTGAATGAGATTAAGTTTTTTTTTATAATACCAAGTGACAGGACGAATAAGTCGTGCGCCTGGTGGTAAGCAAAACGCCTATCCATAACAGTTGCAAACTTAAATTCGCAAAGAATTTATAGGTACTGCCAGTGCGCCCGTCGCCCTGAGACATAAGTTGACAAGTCCCATGTGCCTGTAATTTCACCAGCACCCTTACTCTTCCAAACCGGAACGTGGTAATGCCTACATTACTGCTTGGCGGCATAAATAGGTAAGGTGGCAGTACTTCCCTGGACGAACCCTTTCACAAGGAGCTCTACCTACTACTTCTAAACTGAAAAGTGGACATGATCTAGCAAATAATATCTATCGCCGTGGTTTGTTTGTTCCTCGATAGAAAAGAAGAATACGTATATATTACGAGCCCTATATCCCACCTACGGTGGGGTCGGGCTCGGCCTGCGGCGCGTGGTCGGGTTCAGATTACGGGGTACTTATGTTCTTTGGTGGCAATTGGTACTATGGGCGCTTGATGACGAGGTTTCAGATTCGATTCCCGATTTAAACCAATTTATGAAGCAAACATTTTTAAGTTGGTTTTGGTCAGGGTATTCTAGTTATTGCCCTCAGAGTTATCGTTACTCTGGTACTCATAGTACAGAAAATTTCCTTGTTTAAGACCAGAAATGTGGTGTGATTGTCTGGATTTTTTTCCCTAAATACTTCTCTTTGGCATAGCTTCCAAGAAAAAAGAATCTAACAGAGAGACGGTCGAGATACAAAAACGCTATAAGTATCTCATTTCCACTACACTACCTATCTCTAATAGTTTCCGTGACTCGAGACTTTGAAATTTGTATGGCGGCCATCTTGTTTATTTGAATTTCGAACATTTTATACTTTCGGCGGAAATTGACCAGGGTGTACTTCATAAAAGTGCACAAATATTCCCTCCATGTATTATAGTTTTTGCAGGCCGTTGATCACTCTTTCATATTTTCCACATTCAGGTCTTCTCATATTTGATTCTTTGCTTTGGAATCTATACTAGTACAACGATGTAAATATCTTTTTTCCACCATATCGGGAAGTATGCGTTCTATTTCTATCAGTGAGTAAGAACTTGTAGCTAGTATATACCTATATACATATATATTATATATAATAGTTTTTAAGTTACATGGTTCAAAAAACTCGTGATTTTTTACTAAAAGAGCCCAAATACATAAAAATGGTATAATAATTTAAAAAAAAAAATTAAATTAAAAAAAAAAATTAAAAAAAAAGTAAAATAATTTCAAGTTGTATTATAATTTTCACAATAGATTTCGAAAAACAGAAAAAATTACAGGTTTCTTATATTTAAAAGTTATATCTACACTTCTACAAATTTTATTTGAATAATAATCAAACCTATTTATTCATCATCAACCCTTTGATACGTCCCACTGCTGGGCACGGGTCTCCTTTCAGACGAGGGTTTAGGCCATAGGTTTTTTTATTAGTTACTTAAAATTTACAATTCAGTGACAGCTTGTATACTTCGGCATTTGAACGTGATATAAACGTTGTCTGGCGATATTTATGTTGTGCAGTTATTAGCAAAACAATGCATAATTCCTGCCTATGCGTGGAGTAGTTATATTACACAGTGTGAGGCCACTAAGCTTTGTAAAACGGTGCCATATACGTAGTCAATGCATATACGAGTATACAATATATCTACTTTTAGTGAGGTAACATGAAGCCAAGGTACTCGTGTGAGTGGTGGAACATTGCCAGACTATTCTCGTTAATTTAATGTTTTTAAATAGCGGCCTAACTTGTATATTTATTATTGATTTATAAAAAAATTGCTTTTAAATTGTGTCAGTGTTGATTTCGGAAATAGCTGTGGAATATAAATACTACTAGCACCTCTGGACATTTCATGTTACTTTACATAATATTATATACATATATTGAGTATACAGTGTCCATAAAATTGACGCCAAGACCTCAAAAAATTTATTTCGCCTGTGCTTCTAGTGTTTTGTTTGTATATTTAATATTAAATCATCATCATCATCATCACCATCACATTAGCCGGAAGACGACCACTGCTGAACACAGGCCTCCCCCAAAGATTTCCAGACCGATCGGACGCGACGTGCATCCATCGGTTCTCCGCCGCCCTTACCAGATCAGGCCAGGCCGTCCCACTGAACACCTTCCGGTTCATGGTCTCCATTCAAAAACCTTTTTGCCCCAACGGCCGTCACTGCCACTTCAACTTGCTAATCCTTCGAGCTATGTCGGTGACTTTCGTTCTTCTACGAATCTCCTCATTTCTGATTCGATCACGTAGAGAAATGCCGAGCATTGTTGAGTGACTCTGAGCTTTTTTATGAGGCCCATAGTAAGTGACCACGTCTCAGAGCCGAAGGTCATCCCTGGCAACACGCATTGCTCGAAGACTTTTGTCTTCAAGGACTGCGGTATTGCGGACAAGTAGACGTCCGGAGCTTCCCGAAAGCTGCCCAACCGAGTCGGATTCGACGATTGACCTCTTTCTCGAAGTTTGGCTAGTACCGTGTCGTATCTAAAAATTTTGAAATTGAGAAAACTTGATTTGAAAATTTAAAAAAAAACAAGAATATAAGCGTTTTGACATAATTCTGCATCAACCACTAAAGTCATATAAACTTAAACATATTTTTTAAACCGTTAATAATCTACAATACAATATGACAGATAATCAATAGTCGTATTTCCTTTCATAATTAACTCTAAAATATTCAGACCTGATCTAATTCGTATTGAAGTACTGCCACCTTACCTACCTATTTCTGCCGCCAAACTTTAATGTCAGCATTACCGTGTTCCGGTTTTGAAGGTACCTAAAGAGGTACACTCTTGTGCTGGGGAAATTAACGGCACATGGGACTTGTCAACTTAAGTCTCACGGGCGTATAACTTACCATCAGGCACACGACTTGTTCGTTCCGTCGGTTAATATTATAAAAATAAAATAAAAAAATTGTGCTTTCCGTGCCTTTTTTCTCAGGCATATGGTTGCTTCTCAATGTAGAGGTCCACAATTCGAATACCTAACATAACATAACATAACATGCCAGACAACAACACCAGTAACCTGGTCTCTAACTAAGGATTTCACTGTACCATAAGTACCAGAGTAACGCGAAATATACTCCAAGTCACCACCCAGAATATCCAGACCAAAACCAATTTAGAAAACTTCACTTCCCAAATTGGTCCTAACGGGAATCGAACCCGGGACCTAATCCACCGTGTACTGTGCAAACCGTTGGGTCATGTATGGTCTTACCATAATAAGTACATATTTAGGTGTGATTTTCACAAGCGGCGACCTACGTAGGCACACGCAAGACTTAACGTTTTACTATTACGTCTTAATAGTGGGCCAAGACCTGAACTTAAAAGGTCCCTGTGCTTGCACAGGTTATAGTGCCCTTCCCGCATAATCAAGAGGTTGATAGGGAGGTTCACCATAATCGAAACTGACGAATATACCGTTTGACGTTTTGGAAGTCTTTCTCTTTTTGGCCACCGTATTTATAGTGGCATATGACCACAGACCAAACAAATAGGTACTACTTACTTCCGTGCATATATTTGATGACTCACGTCTTTAATTTCTAATACATTCTTGTACGTTTCAATACCTGTCGTTAATAATGAAGGAAAAAGTCTTAATGAAACTATGAAACCTGCACGTTAAAGCCCATTGGGAATTTCTAAGCTCTGTCTTTGCAACGTTACATGAGGCGCGCTGCTAGAACCTAGCACCCGTCGCTTTTTGGAACAAACTACTTGTGAACCTTCAATGGAAGAATCAAGGATTATCTTAAAAAAAGCCATAACATCTTGCTCTAAGGCAGAAAACGAAAAAGTAACGAGAATGGACACACTCCGTCCCTCCCTAGCTTTAGATACCGCACCACGCCCCGCACATTGACGAGCACTTTGACTGAACGGCAACAAGGCTGTCGGGCCGTTATCGCGCTAAGATGGCTTTGATATTTGAATATAGTTTCATTTATTCGTTACAAAACTTGTACGTCAATGTATAACATCAAATAATTAACAACATAAAACATAAATAACAAATAAATAACAACATAAAATAATTGTTATTATTTATAATGGTCGTGGGTTGTTTGCTGTTTATCATCATCTAAACTGGATAAAGAGAGGATTTCTTTCGTTTTCCGAATTAATGAAAAATATAATATTATATTGGTATAAATACCTAATAAACTGTTTGGCCCAATGGTTGACTGGTAGAGAATGCCTTATGGCATTAAGTCCGCCATTTGTACATCAGTGTTTTGTACAATAAAGTTTAAATACATAAATAAACAAGTGTAATTATGAGGATTATACTAATAAAATTATAGACAACAGATTCGCGTTGCCGCTCTGACCACGTAATAGTACGAGAAAGTGATGGGTAACCCTGACACGTCACGCACACATTTGTGAGTGTGCAGATAGCGCCTTGCTGTATGTAGTAGTAGTAAGTAAAAACCTTTCAACTGTTGTATGGAGTGTCCGGTGTGTGAAAGGTATTACATTTAAGTAGCAGTAGAGCATCTTGTTGAAAGAGTTCGTCTAGGAAAGTACTGCCACCTTACCTATTTCTGCCCCAATCGTTTAACGTTCGTCCCGTCACCTAGTACCTATCATAAAAAAAATAATATTTATGTATACAACAGATTTTAGTCCCTTCATTGCGGGAATTTGAAATTCTATTCAAAGTTTTAGAATTTCTCGCATAGATCAAGCGTAAATGGTTCCTTGCGTTAACAGGATAAATGTCTAAAACATTGCTCATTCAGCACAACCGCGATTCTTGTAGGATGTGTAATCATAATTATACAAATATGATGTAGGCACTTACGTGCCAATATAATCACAAAATCATTTCGACAATGAAGTGACAATGACTATTATCTAGGAGTTTACAAACACATGATTGAAAAATAACATGTAGGTATTGAACTCGGCGACTAAAAAATCGTTGTCTTGGATGATCAGGGGATCAACTAAAAAATTTTACTTTAAGGGTCGAAACACAAAACTGCGAATCGGCGCGATGCGAATTCGCAACGCAGAAAACTGCGACGCGAATTGCTGCGATGCAATTTCGTGCGGCAAAGCGTCTCACTGCCACGGTTCGGGTGATCGTTCCTTCGATGATCGTCAACCGTACTGAACACAGACATATATCTAGATAGACGCCGCAAGTGTTTACTTCGCGTGCCCAAAGTAAGGCTGCTACACTTCAGAACGCGCTCGACCGTTATTGTAGATAAACACCAGTCGAAAACGCGCTAAAAAGTGCTAAAAAGGGATAAACAGGGACGTTTCCTTCCACGGGCAAGTGATTTTGTAATCAGAAGATGCATAATTTATTTTAAAAACAATTATTTTGGTTTTGTATGAATTTCGAGAAAACAAATATGCAACCGAGTGTATGCCTCATGATTTGTAATAATACATTGCGGCTTTTACTCGGTGCGATATATTTGTGATCCTCTACGCCATAAACATCGAACGAACGGACTTTTGTATAAAGAATACGCATGTTTACGCGTATTCCGTTCAATGAATCGATTTAGAGCGAGCGGAAGGTTTCCATCACTAAATAGTTCTTGTGACGTCATAGTGAGTACAAAAAATGTGGCAAGCTTGGTTTTCATGTTTCATACAAATTGCTGTACTTCCGGCGTCTATCTATATATAATATGTCTGTGGTACTGAACGTATTTTTAGAACTAGACGTACTACATCAAGACGTCGTCGTTCGTTACACAGAAGATAAATAAGAAATATTCGAAAATATTGTTAATGTGTAGGTTTTAAATACATATAGGTACGCGAGGAGAACCAAATAACAATAGCGGCTGAAATAATGCTAGAAGAAACTTTAAAATTGCTCTCCTGAAAAATCTGTGTTTTTGAGATAATACCAAGTTCATCTGGATCAACGAAATGGAGAATTTTGGACTGTTCCTATCACCTATTGGAATGCGCTGCTAAAGCGTATGCATATGCGGTATTAAGTAAAACTTATATATAGAACATCCTATTTAATATTTGATTTAGTATTATGACTTTTATTGTTATTATTCTTGTCACTTTATTGTCTGTATACAGTACCTATATTGTTACGTCTTTAATGCGTGCATCATAATACACTTATCACTTAGTCACACTAAACACTAGGTTACTATTTGACACTAAATATTCCTGTCGATTACATCAGTTCATTACGATGGAATTAGTCTATTCAGACAACAACGATATTTTGTTTTCCCGATGACTTATGCCAATATACCTACCTATTGTATCTAATAATGGAAGATAATTATGAATTAGTAATGAAAGAGACTCAGTCTTCTGATGCCTGTTATATAGACTCGACTCCATTTTACAGAACTCGACTCTAAAGTCAAGTCGGGTGGTTCGAGTTTTATTAATAAGACTCAGTCATAATACCTGCTAAGAGACTTAACGACACGAGTTGTTTTTAAAAAAAACTCGCGACTTAGTTGTGCATGATATTCAAAAATAGCTCAAGCTTAGGCTAACTGTAACGGAGTTATAGGCACCTCTTTTACGTCTTATTAAACCTGAAGTTTTTAAAATACCGTATGCTATTGATAATTTTAATAAAATTAATGTACCCGCAAATTACTAGAGGTTTGTAATTCTGTTAACAGAATTGTATATAATATAAATTTCTAGATTAATGTAGAAAGTAAATTATTTTAAATGTAACATAACTATCATTCGTCGCTTTCCGATTGTATTCAAGATATTTCGTCAAATCGATCCTCCAATGAAAACTAGGTACGGAGAACTTTATTTTTTGGTCACTTTCTTTTATTTTTGTAAACAACTATATTTATTTACTAATATTATGCTCCCCGAATTTTGTGAAAAAAAGAAACAAAAAACAAAATCGAAAAATAGACAACGAATTTTATGAAAAAAAAGACAATAAACAAAATAAAAACAGAATAGTTGCAAAAATTAAATTGGCGTAGTGTTCATTGGAGGTATTGAAATATAAATGTCACTTTTTATACTACAGTCGCTGTAATATACATAGCTGTTACAATTTGGAACAAGAAGTTTGATAGTTGGTATATCTCTAAGTATGTTCAAACATGCTTAACGTTTTCAATGGAGATTACTTTACGAAATTTTCTGGTATATAAACTTTAATAGGTGTAACATTAATTCAATTATAGGTGACAGCGGGTTCGTCAGAATACAGTTTCGCCAAGGCTGCGCTATTCGAGAGACACCCAGATATGGCCAACTATCCTGCAGGTAGTTTATAAATTCGAATTGTATCAAAGTACCAAAGGGATATAATAAAACTTCTGAAAAACAAATACAAATGAAATAGCAGTGAACTATAGCTAACTGTAATACTAAGCTAGTTAAAATGAGTTACGCAGAATATATCAATATTAATCATGTGCAGCAAACAATCATAAACTTATTCAAATTCAAAAAATTCAAACTGTACTTCCGAATAATATGTCTACTAAACTTCTGAAAAACTAACTTACCGGTATAATGTCGTATGTTGTCAGTCATAAAATAGTATTAGCATTAAAATTACGAAATATGTAAGGTTGCTTTTAAATTTGTTAATTATATTGATTTACGACAAAAATGGCTAACAAAAAGTTGCGGTAAAATATAAAAAGTTGTAAGAGTATTACGTCCGTAAGATTTTTCGGAACTTTCAGTATTTTATTCGGTTATTTCCGTATTTCAATTGGCGTAAAGTTTTCGGTAGCTTAGTAAATAACGCAGTAAAATTCATATTCTGAAAAGCTCATTTTGACTTACTTCGCGAAGATTTTATAATTACCCAGTACCAAATACATATTTTACATAGAGTAATTATGTTTACGCGTAAAAATACAACTTAGAAGTTACTAAAATACGTCTTACAAATTATTATCATATCATATCAATAATTGTAGATAACATTTCAGACCACAACTGGTTCATCGCAAAAATGAAGATCTTCAAAGTTTCCATGGTGGACTGGTTCGGCGGCGCAAAGAATATCCCTGTTAAGGATTACCTTGCTTACAACTATACTGGAAGGGAAATTTACAATTATTATTACAGCCCAAAGGATGACAATTTACATTCAAATGAAGTTTATCTGACAGAACCTAATTCTGAGGTAGTCCATAAAAATTAACTCCATAGCAAACGAATCGGTATACTCGGAAAATTCGTTAGCAGGCGAATTAGTACCAGAAATAATACGTAGATTTTCATTTTGCAACTAAACGCGATCAGACTCGTTTTCTCTCTCTCGTCGATTAGTACGATGCGATGGCAACAATTAGTCTCAATTTACGTAAGGGGGAAGCGAATTTTGTAACAAAATTGTACATAGCATAATGAACTTTATGTCAATTGTTTAACGTGCAAATTAGATACGATACAGTAACTGCGGGAATTCCCGTGACTGCGTGAGAATTCTGGGTAAGACGCATAACCTGTTTTTTAGCTTGTGTCTAGAGGTGGGTGATAAATAACGTCACGATGAAAAAATCACGATGATCCGCCGTCAAACAGCATCACCGTGACTCGTTCCGAAGGAACGACGTTCCAAAGTCACATAGGTGTTCCTCTGTTCCAATGGCTATCCCCGTCACTCACATCACGACATACGTATTTTATACAATGCGCGATCTCCGTTCCGTGGTGACTGAGCGCGCCACTCGTTGTAGTTCTCTTCAAATCGGGCCATTTCGGCGATGGGAGTGAGTGAGATAAGATGACTTTCTTTGCTCACTCACAAAGGTCGTAGGTGCTTATTACAACTAGAAAGGGCGGATGAAAAAAAATCTGCAGCAGTTACTATAAACCTATTTATTAACAAAGTAACATATTTTTGTATATTTGTTTTATTATAGGAAGAGTTGGTATTTTATATTTATGTATAATCTACTTTGTGTATTCTACTAGAAATATAATTACATTATACTTTATTGCTATTTTTAACAATGCAAAGATTCGCATTAAATAAGTAACAAACAAAATTACATTAAATACAAAATCAACTTTTTGAATGGAATTGAAACTTATTACAAAGGGAGTAAAAACTTAAATCATTCTATAAAAAATGGCTATAAGTATTAAAAAGAAGCCGCTGGCTAAAACCGTATATCGTGATGTAAGTTATAGGCGTGACAAGGTGACGGAAGTAACAGTCATGACAAAATCACGGTGATTTATCGCCGTGATTTTTTTGGAACCGGAACGACAGTCACGGCGATAGAAATGTAACGCTATTCCCCATGTCTACTTGTGTCTAGTGGTCTACTCTCGTTTTTCACAGTGAAGTTTTTTTTTTATAACATCAAGTGATGGGACGATGGTATAGTCAAGTTAATAATAATCGACCAAACGAAAAGATTACGTCAAGTATGAAGCTTGACTCGCATCAGGAGTTTTTTAATTTGATCGAGTATTACATATTAATAATAATCTAAAATAATGACTGATGTGTGTAAAATGAAAACGTTTAATTGTAGGTCCCTAAAACGGTCGATAGATGGAATTAGATCACTTTGCAAAAGTGCGGAAATAGTAGCTCTGCAAGAGACGTGGCTCCTACCTCTTGACTTACCTCTTCTGAGTACAATTGATAGGGAATTTGGTTGGACTGGTAAGTCAGCGGTGAATGTGTCTGAAGGGCTACTTAAGGGAAGATCTCACGGTGGTGTGGGTATACTGTGGAAAAAAACTGCGTTCCAGGCAGTTACAATAATAGAATGTAATAGCGATAGAATTGCAGTAATTAAAATAATAACTGATGAAAAATCGTTCTTGGTGGGTTCCGTTTATATGCCCACGGATTCATACGATAATATGACAATGTTTACGGAGTGCTTAAGTATGTTATCTTCGGTTGTAGCAGACAATAGTGATGTACAAGCATTATATATACTAGGGGACTTTAATGCTCATATTAATGAGCCATTTTACCGTGAGTTGATAGATTTTTGTACAGAACAACAGTGAATATGTGCAGACGTAGACAAAATTGGTTCAGGCTCTGATACCTACACATATATCAGTGATGTATACCTATAGGTGTAGGAGATGGTTGGATCACTGCATTGTAACGAATTGTGCGTGGAATACAATATGCGACATTACGGTTACGTATGATGTGTTTTGGTCCGATCATTTTTCTATGCTTATAGAATGTAAAGCCTGTAAAGAATATTTGTAACAATTATTTAAATAATAAAATAGTATGGGGGGACAGGCACATAGATCAAATTAATGGATATAATAGGATATGTAACAGTAAGCTGAAAGACATTGACTTTCCGGTTACTCTTAGGGACTGCTGTGACACTATGTGTGACAATTGCGACCACTTCAAAATTATTGATAACTTGTACAGTAAAATTTTTAATGCTTCTATCTTCCTTCCACGCCTACTACATCTAAATGTAGTAGGCGTGGAAGGGGTCGCTGTATAGTATAGGGTGGAATACATATGTTGCTGAAGCTCACAGAGAGGCCAGGTTACAGTTTCAACTTTGAGAGCTTGCAGGAAAATCACCGTATGGTCAGATTTTTGAACAAATGCGTCATAAAAAAAAGGTCTTCAAGTCAAAACTCACGTGGTGTCAGGACAGGCAGGATCAATTTAAAATGGATAAGCTAGCTCTGACTCATAGAACTAAAAAATTTGGCGACTTTTGGAATAAAACTAAACAAATGAAAGTAAAGCCTGGCCTGCCTGCGAGTGTGGGGGACAAGTCTGACTGTGGTGAAATTGCGGAGATGTTTAGAGAACATTTCACTGTTCACAATCGCGGTTGGATGTACAAACTTCTCGTGGGGTAGGGCTCGGTGCTGGGACCGTCGGGGGCAGGCGTATTACCCATTTTACCTCTAAAAAGATTAAGACGGTAATTAATAATATGCAGAGGGGTAAGTCTCCTGGTCTCGATGGTCTTAGCGTTGAGCACTTGAAGTATGCGGGGGTACATCTACCACGTGTTCTCTCTATGCTATTAAGCTTTTGTATGGGCCACTCGTACCTTCCAGAGGCACTCATGACGACGATTGTAGTACCGGTTGTTAAGAATAAAACAGGTGACCTATCTGACAGAACGAATTAGCGGCCTATTTATAAGATACTTGACCGTATGCTGGACACTATACTGGAACGGCACTTAAAGTTTCATGACGCCCTAGAGCGGGGCTATCCACAGATAGTGCGATTCTGTGTCTGAAGCATACGGTCAGGTATTATACAGATAGGAAAACCCCCGTGTATGCTTGTTTCCTCGACTTGTCAAAAGCATTTGATCGAGTCAACTATGATCTGCTATGGCAAAAATTAAGTGAGACAGCCATACCGGGAGAATGGGTGGCATTATTTAGGCACTGGTACAGCAATCAGAGAAATCAGGTTAGGTGGGATAATATGTTATCTGCTGAGTGCAAACTGGAGTGTGGAGTAAGGCAGGGAGGATTACTTCACCGAAGCTATTGCATGAGGAGTGCGCGAGTTGATGGTGGCTTAAGGCATTTAACATGACTATGTGTATGTCGCTATTAGCTATTTCTTGTACGTACATACCTACTTGGAAAAATATTTGACGTAAAGGCAAACATGCAAACACTCATGCAGATATATCGTCGGGGATAGTGCAAATCCGCGTATGTAGTATTGGTAAAAAACGCGTATCTGCGCCAAACCAAATTTCACAGTAGAGGGATTTAACGTTATTACTTTGTTAGTTCAATGGCTACGACTTTAATTTTTGCACAGTAAGCATTAATTTATATTGTCTACAGATTGATAACAATAGATCCTCGTAAATCACACTACTTTGGTTGCCACGGCATTTACGCGGATTTGATTGGGCGACTAAATTACCGAAATGGAGACTCATAATCAAATTCTAGTGTCGCGTAATCCCCGATGGCATAATATGATCGTCTACACATGAAACAAAATAAGGAGTTAAAATAAAGAATATAAGCAACCGTGGTGTGGACAGTTTACTTGCGTATTTGCATTGACTCATTTGATGTGCGTCGATAAAACCGCCCAGCACGCGTTAACGCTTATTTGGTGTTTGCTGTATTTGTGGAATAGGCAAACAAAGCAAATAATTTGTCACAAATACTATCTACACATGTCATGGTGATTATTTGCCAAATATCGACTGTGAACTGGCAATCGGTACTTTCTCAATTTTGACAACTTTACAGGTGAAGAAAAAAATTATTTGCGTCATGTATATAGCATCTGATTTATTAAATAAAAATACTTTTATTTAAATATTTTTATTACACATACACTACGTATTTTTATTTCATAAACCAGATGCTATATAAATGACGCAAAGAATTTTTTTCTGCATCGTGTAAAGTTGTTAAAATTGAGATAATAGTGAGGTTGCCAGTTCACAGTCGATATATCAAATACGCAAATATTAATAGCCATTTGAACTGTCATAATATAAAGTACATTATGCTATGGTCACGACATGTGAACTTTATTTCCGCTATCTGCCGTCTCGCTAGAGGTGGCGAGTGTCGCACTACCACCAGTTATTATATAATTCATCGATGGAGTGCCGGATTTGCAGTCTAGGTCGCCCTAGGCCCCCCAAGCCATGTAGTTAGTACCAGCCGCCCCTTTCTCAGCACTCATCATATACTGGTAGACTACATAATGAATTTACTTTATTGCCAACTTTTATCGAAATCGATTCAGAAATTTAGTTAACTATGGCTGCACGCTGTCTATTGGTGGAAACAGCATGAAAATCAGTTCAGTAGTTTTTGAGTTTATTAAGATTAGACAGACAGATGCGGTAGTGATAATATGGAGTGATTATGCATTACATGATAGATAATTATGTAACATATCTATATTTTATACATAAAATGTACGAAAGTGATTTAGCAAGATTATTGTTATGCGATGCTGTGTTGTGCGGCTCGCCTTAATGTGCGTGAGCCTTTAGAATATTTAGGTACTTGTTATTTCTTGTTATCAATTCTGTCATCAGTGAATTGTTTGTCACGTAGGCCGCCCTAGGCCTGGGCCTACTGGACCTTATGGCAAATCCGCCACTACATCGAGTGGTTAAATAACGAGATCAAGGAGATATTTTCTTTCAATTTAAAGAGTCCCAAGGCCCCATGTACATCGAAGTGTCATAATATGTCAAGTGATTCAGAACCAGACAATATTATTCCTATGATGATGTAAACACTTGGTGTAGGTAGGTAAACAATAATGAAAATATCGATCGCATTAGAGTCTGTTGCGATCATAAGGTAGATACGATTTTCATAGAAAACTTTAGTAAGTACCTACATAGGAAATGAAACTATTTTGCTGGGTCTTAGGAGGTGTTATATTTATTAGTCGATTTGAATCTCTTTTATTTACTAATTTAAATAAATGAAATTAAAAAATTACACATTTTATCTCGACCGTAAACTATAAGTAGTTCACATTCTATTATATGTATAATAAGGTAACTCTCCTACGAAAATTGTTCCTACTTATCTTCTTTAGGCATCGCTGTAGTTATTATTATAAGATATAAATATTTTTATAACTTTAAATTTTTAGAAAATAAAACTATTAAATTTAAAATAAGGTCTTTTATTTAATTTTTAAGATTTATTTACAACTGTTTTGTTAAACAGTAAGAATTGGAAGAGCACCGTATCTTATAAATAATATAATATCAGGTACAGTCAAAGAGTGCATCAAATTTGACATGGAACAAACATTTTTATCACAAGTGCCATACAGTTAAATTTTACGTGTCAATCTTGACGAGCTCTTCATCCTGCACATTATAAATAATGAATTACATCTAACTACGTTTAATCGCTTAAAAACTTCAGTCAAGAATATTTTCAAATTGTGCAGTTATAAAATTATGATAAAGGCTGTCAGGTGAGATACAGGTGCTAAGGGGGTACTGATGCGCAGTCGATTCCAGATCCCTCCCAATAGAGCACTCGAGAAGGCCACCGTGGGTAGAAGTCACGCAAAAACACTAGGAGGATTTCTGAGATGCCTTGCCAAGTCGCAGAATTTAAATATAAACTAATAAAATCTTCCTTACAACATGGACACCTATGTCGAACATAGTGCCGCCACATCAGGGTTAAAATGTAACTTGTCAGCCTTTATACGAAGCACAACTTTCTTATACAATATCTCTCGGCAATCTTCGGATTTCCGAAAGTACCCGAAAATACTTTACCATCTCTACTAATTAGTAGATTTATGATCTACAATAATCTGAATTAAGAATCACATACTTCATAGTTGTTTTGTTTTGATTTTCATGTAAGTATCTGTAGAAGAGGTGTAAAACTATTTTATATTAACATTTAGTTCTTAACAATAGTATGATCAAGATAAACCAAACAGAAATATAATCACGATAAAGGGCAGTATACTGCCGCCGAAAGTTGAACGGGCGTTTGTGACAAAAACTCAAAACCGTGAAAATAACGCAAAAAAGAACTTTTCTCTTGTGGTAACTTCATACCAACAAAAAATGCAACAGATCGGCTTTTTTTACTCGGCAGTCTAATCACGGCAGTATACATTTTTTTTTAAATGTCACATGCGCCCTTTCAAGTAACGCGGCAGTATACTTCTAAATAGAGTGAGTGTGTTCGGTATGCACCAAGTACATACGGTAACTGATATAGTCAGTGGCGGATTTGCACTCTTGGCGCCCTAGGCCCCAGGCAATGTAGTCAGTACCAGCATCCGTTCAGTAGTTTTTGAGTTTATCGCGATCAGTCATACAGGCAGACGTAGTGATGTAGTGATTATACATTACATTATAGATATGTAACATATATGTAATCTATATTTTATACACAAAATGTACGATAGTGATTTAGGAAGATTATTGTTATACGATGCGGTGCAGCGCGGCCCGCCATAATGTGAGCCTTTAGAATATTTAGGTACTCTGAGTTATTTATTTCTTGTTATCATCAGGGAATTTTTTGTCACGATTGGCCGCCCCTAAAATCTGGCCGCCTTAGGCCCGGGTCTGGGCCCTAGGGCAAATCCGCCACTGTATGTAATTCCGACGACACCCGAAAATGTTCCCGATATATATTAAGAAAGGCTTGACACTAAAGACAGACTTAAGATTTAAATTTAACTATATGCGACTTATGATAAAAACGATCGAGCTTGATGTGGTCTTGACTGTACAAACAACCCCATTAACATAATATACAACCTAAAACGTAACAACCCAAGTTTATTTAATGACTACGTTAATCTAAAATCGAAATAAAAGCACCATTTTTCTTAAATTTCGGTCCTGTATTAATCGCATTATAATTACATATTAATAAGTAAGAAGATAAATATTCAAAACTCAGTTTTGTAACGAACATTTTTGCTTTTGATATAAATTCTCACTAGTGTTGGGTAATGGATCAATATCCATACAGAAAAAAATATATATTTTAGAAAAAAACTATATATTTCTAAAAAAAAAATTTACCATGTTTTCTGAAAAACGTTTTGAAAAATTTCCACCATTTGCAATTTGTTGGACCTTTGCACAATACTATTGTCGCCCCCTTGAGTATTACTCGCAATGTACAGGACACGCTATATGATTTTTTAACACCAATGGAGTTTTTGGTCATTTTCAAATTCAATTTATAATATAAATTGACAAAAAATCCATCGGTGTTTAAAAGAAATTCATTAAAAAAACCGGATTTTCAGTAATTGGCAAAACCGTACTTTATCCCTAGACACTTTTAATGTGTAATTAATTTTATTTTCAACTACTCGTACGAGCTCTGGAATTCATCGTAATTGTTTTAGTCTGCGCTGCTTATTGTTCATATAGGTACCATTTGTAGTTTTATTATTGGAATTCATAACATGTTGGTCTTGTTTATTGTGTAGCAGCGTGGTGTTTATTGTAATACTAAATGATTATCACTAATATCAGGTTTCTTACCACGGTATAACTTCTTTTTATTTTCCCGATATTTCGGAACGGTTGCACGCTCCGTGGTCACGGGTTGAATGGACGGCGGCAGATGACAGCTTTAAGAGCAGACATATCTGTCTACCTTCTTGCGCTGTCGACGACTACCTTCATCGCGATTTGTTGTGGCGTTACCATTGTCACTCACTTTTTTCACACTAACCACACTCACTGTATCCACACGCGAAACTGATCTCGAGGTGTTTTTGTTTTTATTACTGCACGGACTAAGGACCGGATTCCATGCACTGGACAGTTTACCTGGGGGCTATGCAACTCGATCCAGTGCCCCAGGTACTCTCGACAGAACGTCTCTACATACCACGGTTGGTACGAGAAGCCATCGAGACCACGAAGTACAAAACATTGTGTTGTGTCGCAAGAGGGTAGACAGATATGTCTGCTCTTAAAGCTGTCAGCTGCCGCCGTCCTGTCAACCCGTGACCATGGAGCGTGCAACCGTTCCGAAATATAGGGAAAATAAAAAGAAATCATACCGTGGACAGAAACCTGATATTAGTGATAATCATTTCGTGAATAACCACGAAAGTCTTAAAATCTATATCGTAATACTCTTCATTCATAACATTTATTGTCTTGAAATTAATGTTCCTTTTCCCTTACGTCATGTATGTGTATTCTACTAATTAATTACTCACAAGGTATTCACGGAAGTTTAAAAATGAAGTAAAACAAATTACTTTGCTTGCAGCAAACCTTTTTTTGTTTTGTAGCGATTTATTTTATAAAGGTTCTGCGATTAGTAATCTCGGTTGTGATAGGTAAGCTTACATTGCCTTTATACTTGGTTTGGTAAAGTTAAGTTAGAACTACGACTACAACGGCCGGTGAATGCGAAAATTAAAATATTATTTAGTACCTTGGTCAAGAAAAAAAAAATCGACCTTAAAAAGTCTGTGGAATTATATCTATTTGCCAAGTTTTATTGAAATTGGTTAACGGAAAATGGGTGAAATCCAATATACGGGATTCATCCTCTAATTTGCCACCCTTAAAGGTAGAATATTTTCTTCAAATTTGAATGATACCACTAGTGAGGTACCCCTTTCCAACAAAAAGAGAATCCTCGAAATCGGTTCACAAATGTCGGAGTAATCGCGTAACATACACACTCAAATAATTGTATTAAGAACCTGTTCTTTTTTTGAGTCGGTTAAAAATAGGTTTAGTGTACTCTACTATCGGCCATATTGCAGCTTACTGTCAGGTGAATATGTATTATGGTATTTATTTAAAAAAAAACTATATATTTGTTTTTATGTAACGATCGGTAATGAACGTCAACTTGGTACGGCAGTCAGTGGAGTAATTGTATACTTACTTATTTTAAACAGTTACGCTTATCGCAATAGCTATTTTTAGTGTACGTTTCGGAATACTAATATTATACAAGATATCATGAGTTAAGCATATATCTTGCAGAAACATTATGAGTTATTTACAGCGTTGGTAAGGAATTGGAACTTATTAATATCAACTTTATAATACTTTATTATGAATAGTGATGACCAAACATCTCAATTCAAAGAAAAAAAAAGAATAATTTTATAATTTTGATTATATGAAGCTAGGACCTTTGTTTTTATCTAAAAAATGGAATGAGTTGATACAGATTTCATATCAAGTAGTTAATCTGAAAAGGTGTTAATTATGGCATTAACGTAGATGTCGTGTCATGCAGCTACAGTTGTTTTTCATTTTTCCTCCTCACGTGCGTCTAATGTAAATAAATAAATAAGTAATTAAATAAGACAAAGTACTGGAAGTAAATGTCGCCAGACATGACTAAATCCTTCAATTTTATAAGACGCTCTAGTATATTTTTTTATGTTACATTTGTATAGTAGAAGACCGTAAAGTAGACTGTTCTATATACTACTTACAACTTTTTAAGGCAGTTTGACTGACATCATAGCCAATCATAGCCCCACATTAGGGAAACCCTGTGTCGCGGGTGCCATAGACATACATATCGTCGTCATAAGAGTGAAAACCTCGTGATTTCTATGTAATTTTCCAGGACAAAGATAAAAAATGTGGTGTAAAATGTATATAGTAAACGCATATTATAACTCGTTCAGATACTACTTTAATATATTTGATCAAGAATATTAATAATTAATAATAATAAGTTTCTTTTCAATAAAAATCAGTAAAAACAAACTTTGTGAAAACGCGTATGCGAGGTTGTCACTATAAGGCGACGATATATACAATCACAAATTGCGAGCTCACGAGAAAAGTAAAATTTTAGGCCATACAAATATTTCTCCCGGTACGGGACCTTTGGTGGCAGACCAGCTTAGTAACCGTTCGGCCACGTAAGCAGTCGAGTTATTAACTAAACTATCTAGGATCAGTTAAAGGAGATCTACCTAGAACGCCCTCTAATCGTTTTTTTAAATATCTTATTTCGTTCCAGTTTTATTGTGAAACAAAATCTGCGTAATTGACACTTTTAGGTCACAGTAAAATTTTACATGCCAATATCTCGAAATTTACCGAAATGCGTTAGTTATGACAAGAGCAGTAAAGATGTTAACAGACACTACATTTCAGATTGTCAATACAGAACTCTCAACAGACAACCGTATCCCCGATCCAACTTCTGCTCAAGTCAAGTAAATTTGCCAATACCTATCTCCTGTTTTTTTCTTGCTGAACTACAGCGAAATTCGTACTTGAAAAAAAAAATTCTACAATAATTGGACTCGCCCGTTACAATGTACGCAAGAGGCGACGGGGCGAGGTGTGTTACCGCTACTGCTGTAGGCGTGATGAACTAAGGCATTTAATGGTTCTTCATTCATTCGTTTTACTTCAAGAGGCTTTGCCATCACCTGAAAGTAATAAAGTTAATATGAAGATTGCTGCTTAGACATCAGTGACGAAGGGGATGCTTTTCCTATGAACTTGTCTACGAAATTCCTACATTTATATAATATTATTGTATTTATTCAAAGTGCAACTAACGCAGCATTAACAAGACCACTTGTTTTGAATAAAACGCCTGACAATTTTTTCCACTCCAATGCAAAAACGTCTATATTTCCTACCGGTTTCACGCGTCGAAAATAGACTGACAGTTGAGTACCGAGTAATGATAGAATTAGATAAATCAGCAATGCATTCATGAGTCAAAATTGAAATTGAAGGAGTTGATAGTGCAAGAATAACTTTTATAAATATATACTTTATTGTTTGTTTATTTGTTGGTCCCGTCAGTTGATATTATATTTAAAAAATGTCGTAATTTGCGGTATGCTGACTGCTCCTTATAATTTTTTTTCTTCAGCGATTTTAGGGGTAAATGTATCTAAATTGAAAAGTATGAGGTTCAGACATATCAGTCATAAATTTTTGTTGAAAAGTGATTTTGAAATAATCGCATTTGCCATTTTATAATTTAAAATATAGCCTAGTTGGTAGAATGCTTCCTTTGCCTGAATTAAATTTACGACTGACTCTATTTCGAATTCTTCGCAATTATCCCTTGCTTTAACGGTGCAGAATAACATCTTGATAAAACTTCGGATGAGTCGATTTCATTACATAATTTAATTATGTTTTGTTGTGCACATAAACCCGTTATTGTAATTATTGTGTCCTGTATTTTGGTCTGCAGGAAGAAATTTCTTATAGAAATAAGCAGTACCTTTTGTTTGTGTTTTTCGTTTTACTAAATGTGATTTGTGTTTTCCTGTACAATAAATAATGATATATATAAAACTTGCATTTCCGAGAAAGTTCCAAAATCTTGTTGGGCCGTGTTAGCGGACGTGAGTGTGGTGAAACATAATACCATATTATAATATGGCAAGGGTCCAACGGTTACAGTTGATTAGTACTTACATTTTCAGCATTGATCTCCCCATCAGTAAGAGCAGATAAGCTATTCAAGTGGCTTATATCTTGTTTATCCACAGAACTGCTGATATTCTCCGACAGCTTCAGATTAACCGACGCCATATCTAAAATATTGGTTGAATGCGGCATTGTAGCATTGAAGTTGAGGTTTCCTATGGGCCTGTTGTACATTTTATTACCAGTATATTCTGATATTGTGATGTTCTCAAGCCATTTTTCATGTAGGCTGTATAGATTCTTATAAGTACATAGCATCATATCTCGACTTCTACATCTTTCGTCTAATAATTGCCTTATTGCTTGTTGAAGGTTGTCAGTTTTTTCGTTTAATAGTTTCTTGCAGTTAGCTAGTTCTTCTACCATCAAACTGTGGACAAGACATAGGATTTTGAGGCGTAACACACAGACATGTAGAAACAAAAATTATATAATAAAATTTTTGGCGGTTATAGGATGTTGCATGACATAGGGCCTCTCCATACAATATATTGACTTTTGCCAATCAATTACTTTGTTCAATGGCCTGGCATATTATGACCTGTTTCATTCGACTTCACCAATTAACATTATGAGATGAGAGATAAAGAACCTTATGTCCATATTTTTTAATTTACATGTCTTTTACAAACATTGCTTTAGAATGGTAAAAATCACGCAATTGTAAAAGACATTAAGTCCTATCCTCGTTTTTTTAAATTCAACATTCAAATAAAAGGTCAAACACTTTAGATTGATTTTATATATATATATATATATATGAGATATCGGCCTGTCGCAATGTTAAATTGCAATAAGTCGATGGAGGGAAGGGAGGCTTTTACCCAGCAGTGAGTTAGTAACGGCCGAAAAAATTAAAATTAAGTTCCATACTAATAAGGCAATACATTATTTCCCGCCTGTGTTGGCAGTGGAGTGATACAGAGGATAGGAATATTGTTCCAGGTTCACACTGCTACCCAAGACACCGATTAGCTTCTAAGAACTGTACTTCACTTAAATGTCTCGAAAAATCAATTAAAATTCAAACAGAAAGTAATACTAAAAAAAACAATGAAAATATATTGTGAGAATTACATACCTGCTGGCAAGAAACTTACTCCTCCATACTTCACACTGTCCTGCTAACCATTCTGTTTGCTCCTGTTTAAAGAAAAGCAATATAATTTGGCTGTCTATACATACAGTAATTTAATTAAAAAAGTAATAAAATAATTAAAAGAAATTTAATTCACTTAATAAATGAAAATGAAATGAATGAATGTTTAATATAAACTAACATTATCACTAAACTTAGGTACATTCATTTTTGATAACAATCATTAACTCTAACACCTACTTACTCGTAACTCCTGCAGAAATCTGTCATTCTATCATTGATACATATATTTTAAGTGCACCAATAAAAGTATACTTCGTTTCAATCCATTTGAAACAAAAAGTAAACAAACAAGTCACTGACCCGACCACAGACGGTCCAGTGATGACCAATTGTAATACCAACTACAAATCAATTAATTGAGTCATACTAGTGGTTTGCCTTACATTACCTATAAAAGCATATTTAAAATTTACGAAATCTTAATTTTAACTCCTTCCCTTACTTCAAATCCTTACACTTAGATACTTGTTGTTATTTTCGATTTATTAATCTATTGCAAAAAATTTAATTGAATGAACCAAATGTTTTTTCTGTACAGCACTACGCAACCATAAACTATTCATACATGTATAATTAAAACCTAACCTCACTTTTTGACTATAATTATAATTATTTTGACTATAATTATAATTTGATTATACCATTTGTCAAATATGATTTTACGATGTTACTCAAATGAATAATGTTAGGAAAAGTGACGAGATATCAAGTCAAAATCTTCGAAAATGTATTACTTATTCGATTTATTGAGTGATTGCTTTAGAATTTTAACCAAACTGTTTTTTTTATTTTTTGTCTAAAATGGATTGGGACAGACTATCATAACTACATTTAATTTATTTTTCACAAATTATAACATTTATTCATTCAAAAACTAAATTAGTTACAAATGTCAATCAGCAACATAGGCTTTGTAAGGTAATTTAATTGTATAGTATAGTTAGCATACCTGGTGTGTAGAAAGGTGTTGTGCAGAATTGAGCAATGCATTTGCCAAATGTTTTTTGTCTTCATTAAGTGATTGTACTTGCACCTCAAGGTCCTCCCCCATTGAAGCCACTAACATTGTTTTTAGTTCTTTATTTACCTGTAACAAGTAAACAAACAGAAATATCTTGAATGTAGTTGAAACCTGAAGTTTGATAGGCCAACATGCGACATTACAACTTCATAAAAAAAAAGGAAAATTCAAAAGTAAGTGTGGACAAGGTCTATAAAAACGTTGAGGAAATCCTTTCTATAGGAGAAAATGGTGTTTAGTACATTAACAAGAATCTAGATCTAAAATCTAAGAGAAAAAGCAGTCAACTAGATGAAAGCCCTAACACCATCTCATATTGAAGATATTTTCTAAGGTATTGGAAATAAAATTAAGGAAAACGTAATCATTGTAAAGCTGAAAATTGCAAAATACTTCATGATAATGTACAAACTTAAACTTGATATTATAAAAAAAATTGTATTCATATAGATAGGCATGCAGTTTTTTTTTATATTTTACATTAATTGTAACTGTCATATTAATTTTTGTTTTTCTTACAGTTACTTCATAAAAATATATATCTATATCCAGACACATCAACTAGGCTACTACTGTAAGAATATCTCCATTGGTGTACAAGTAAACAAAAAACATTTCGAAGATAAATAACAGTAAATCACCTGTGCCTGTTGTTTCAATTGTTCCTTCAGTGACTCATTTTCTTTTAACAATTCATTAGTTTTTTGTTTTAATTCTTCCATCTCTGCACTTGATTTTTCACTTTCTACAATTGACTTGTCACTTGTGGAAGTGAGTTTAGCTCTGGGTTTGAACTCATTCAAGTTTGTGTTCATTTGGGACATTTGAGAGATAAGAGTGTTAATGTCCATGTTGTTCCTTGACTTTTTCACGCCTTTTGTGGCTGCCTTAGGTGTAATTGGCTTCACAGCAGCAGGGTATGGTTCATAAGGAACAAATTTAGGACTCCTGGAGTGTATGTGCGGACTTTTCTTCTCAGCTCTAATAATAGCAGTGGGAAATACTTGTACCAGACGCTCAAGAACTCCAGAATCTTTGCTATTTGACCTCACTGGCTTGTGGACGTTCCTAACCGTCTCTGTAACACTTTCATCTGATTCCATGCCATCTCCGGCTGTTCGTTTCTTATCCAATATTCCTATATGAAAAAGAAAAAGTAAAAGGATGTGTAGCGAATTAGAAACGACACGAATACAAAATTCATTAATACCAAAATATAGTAAAAATCTCTAGAATAAAATTTCTTACTAGGGTGAAACTGCGTTTGTTTATCCATATTATAGTTAATGAATTAGATAAACATAAAATAAGTGTACAGAATAACCTGTAATTTGCAAAATTAAATTAAATAAATACACGAATAGAAGTGGAATGGCTTTCAACTTCAACTTCAACTTTTGTGTCTATGGCTAGCTCGATGTTGTCAACATAGAATAATTTTTTTTTTTAATTTATTAAGCATTGGCTTCAAGGACATCAGCTTAAAAAGAGTTGTCAATGTCACCAATGTTTATTTCTTAATTTGTTGAGCTTTGGCTACAAGTTAATAGTTTAGTTTTTATTTATTTATTGATTGTATAAATCATATTTTTCATAAAAATAGATATTTTTCCAATATTTTTGCACTTTTGACGTTGACACCTGAAGTCGAAGTCACAGCGAAAACGACGGAGCGAACAACAGATGGTGGTAAAGTGGTTGTTGGAGGTTTTTTCATTGTCGTGAAATCATTATCTCGTTTTTCTTTATGAGGCTTTTATGTAGACAATTTTACAATTCACGCTAAATAAAACTTCAGAAGATATTTCTAAACATAGAACATAACAGTAAGGGCGCATTTATACGAAACGAATTTCATCGCTCTCACCCCGTCCGGCCATCCGGCCACCGCGCGGCTGCCACGTGGTCGCTGAGCGGAGTCCACAGCGGCCGCCGCGCAAACGAAAAACGAATTTTGCGTTGCTGTCGCGCAGCGACCGTGTGCGTCTAACTGTCATGCGAAAATACGCTCTATTTGTTTAGCTTTGGCCGCGCGGTTGTGTTATTCAGAGGAATTTAAATGTTGTTGTCTAGTAAATAGAATTTAGATTCGCCATTAATGTACACACGCCAGCACTTCAAGCTACACATTGACGTAACTTCTTCCGTTCCACTAGAGGCGATTTTCGAATAAAAATGTGGTAGTCTGATGTGCAGTTGTCCGTACAGGAAGGAGTGGTAAGGTTTCGCTTCGTGTAACTGGGCGCTAGAGCTATCAGCTTAAATAACATTTAGATAGTGTTGGGTCATGGAAAAATTTCCATTTTGAAAAAAATCTTATTTTTCAGAAAAATAAAATAAAATTTTAAATTTTTATTGAATTGATATTCAATTATTTTTCGTGAAATTACTCCACTAGTTTGTTATAATTATTAATACAAAGATCGAATACTCAGAAAGAATTTCTTCTATCCAGCCAGATTCGAACCGACGTCTTCTAGATTACCGTGCCAGACGCTATACCAACTAAGCCACGGAACGAACCAGCGGACCTCACGAATTTTTCTGTGCTTGCGTCGTGTCTTTGCATTTGGTTTTTAAACGACTTTTAGTCGTAGCGCCATCTATGAAAAATCTATGAAAAATTTATCACCCACTTAGTATCTTTACAGCCACCAGTCCTGGCGAGAGATGTCGCTATTCGCTGTATTTTAATTTTTTATTGAATTGATATTCAATTATTTTTTGTGAAATTACTGTACTAGTTTGTTATAATTATTAATGCAAAGATTGAACACTCAGAAAAAAAAAACGCACGGTACGTACACATGACACGGTAAACTAGAAGACGTTTGGTTTAAATCTGGCCGGATCGAAGGAATTTTTTCTGAGTGTTCGCTCTTTGTATCAATAATTATAATAAACTAGTGGAGTATGTAATTTCACGAAAAATAATTGAATATCAATTCAATAAAAAAAAATTTTTCGGAAAAAAGGCGGGAAACTCTAAAGAGAAAGGCGCGTTTTTTAAAGTATTTTTTTTTTTTATTATAAAATAATAGTTTTCATAGTTGCCTTCGCACATTATATTCACGTGTGATCGGCCAATATGCCGAAATCTAAAAAAAAACGAACAAGAGACGATGTTTCACCAGATGAGAAACCCCTTTCCAGGAACAGCAGCAGCGAGAATGAAGAGGAGTCTATGGAGTATTATACTTTCGGGGCTCCTAACTACAAAAGGAAATATGACTTAAACAGCAACATTAGTGAGTATGTTGTTTTCCTGTCGTATACAGATCAACAGGCTTCTATTACAGACAAAACTAGAATGACGATTTCCCAAGGTCTCAAAAAAACTAAAACCAAAGGTATTCAGCACCTCCGATCTATTAACAAATATAAAGTGGGTGTCGTTTTCGACGCGGCCAATTCGGCCAACGTATTTATAGACAATATAAAATTCTTTGAAGAAACGGAAATGGTTCCTTCCCTTTCGGCTGCAGCTACGGAGGTGACTGGTGTTGTTCGCGATGTACTAGTAACCTTTTCCAACAAGAAGATATTCTCAGCAATTAACAGTTCAAAGAATGTAGTCCAGGACAAAAAATTTACGAGGAAAGAGAAAGCGGACAATGTTTCCATCGTATTCAAACCAACTAAGACTATAGCAATAACTTTTGCTTCAACTCAGTTACCGCAACATGTATATTTAGACAATTGGAGACACGAGGTCGCCACCTACATACCGCTTGTAAAGCAATGTCTGAAGTGTTTACGATATGGCTACATTGCAAAGTTTTGCAAAAACTCAGAAAAATGTTCCATATGCTCAGAGGGCCACAGCTTTAAAGTATGCATAGTAGATTAATGCATTAACTGCGGTGGAAATCATTTGGCCATTTCATCTGCTTGCCCAATCAAAAAACAGAAAATACATGATATCAAAATAAAAGCACACTTCATATACATTCTCATATTCAGAACTTGTTAAACATCAAAATTTCCCTACATTGAGTACCAAAATGACAATACAAAATCTTTTCTAATTCAGACCTATTAACCTTATGGTAGTCAGTAGTAAAATTAGTTAAAAATAAAGACAAATTAGTCATCGACTCAAATAGCGTAAAATATTTATTAGTGGATACATTTAAAGATTACAAAAATTAACTTTGTATAACAATGGATCAGTTAAACATTATCCAGTGGATTGCTCAAAGTATTTTATCCAATAAGAACTGTTTACAATATTTTCTTTATGACAATAATATCCACATTGCAATTATATCAGAGACATGGCTTAGAACACATCATAAATTCAAAATTAGAGGTTTCTCAAAAGCGCGTAACGATTCTGGAAACAAGCATAATGGTGTAGCAATTTTAGTTCATAACAGTATTAGATATTGTCACCATCGCACTTTTTCAGATGATTCCTTACAAAATATTTGTATACAAGTAACCATTAACAATAAATCATATACAATAGCTAGCTTATACTGCCCCACTAACGCAACTCCACATTTTGAAAAAAATAGTTTGATGCATTTGTTAAATCATTACTGAAACCAGTTATCATTGCCAGTGATTTTAACGCTCACCACATCGCGTGGGGCTGTACCACTATTAGTCCACGCGGTAGAGATATTCTAGACGTAGTAGATGATAATAATTTGATTATATTAAACAATGGAGATCCTACCACAGTTGGCACAAATAGATGGCGGCCTAATGCTCTTGATTTAACCATAGTATTTCCATCTCTTGCCCTAATTTTCATGTGGAATGTTTACGATGATCCGCTCGGATGTTATCACTAGCCTGCAATCACAAATATAACATTTCAGAATAACAATAACATTCAAAACAATGTTTTAGGTACACCTGTATATATACACAATAAACAATAAACGTTCTAACTTTAAACTTGTAAATTGGGAAATATACAGTAATACAGTTAATGAGTTATTTAATACATTAGAGGTAGACTCTTTAACAGCTAATGAAGTTTATGATAATCTATGTAATATATTCCACTTAGCTATAATTAATTCCCTCCCAAAAAATTACAATGTCAATAGTAATAAAAACACTTGCAGAGATAAAAAGAGATTGAATCTTCCATGGTGGAATGAAAAGTGCTATTTAGCAGTAGAAAATTCAAAAAATGCATATGTAAACTTCAAACAAAACCCTACAGAAGAAAATTTTATTAATTTTAAAAGACTTCAGGCTAAAAAGAAACTTATCTTAAATCAGGAATGTTGTGACAGCTGGGTCATTTTATGTGAAACATACTCGCAGCACTCCATTAAGTATTATCTGGAAACAAATGAGAATGTTTAATAAAACATATGTTCCTAAAAACAACAGTGGTTCTAATAATAGTAACTGGGCTCCACAATTTTTGAATAAATACACTCCAGATAATGTTACTGAAAACCCAAAAACTATGCCCCAAAACTTAGATCAGACCATTCATTCTCTTGGAACCCTTCACAATACAGGAATTAAAGTCAGCTCTCTATTCCTGACGTGATACAGCATATGGTTTAGATGTCATACCATATATGTTTCTTAAAAAAATTAATTGTAGATGTCTTAAAATAGTGCATAATATGTTTAATTATTTTTGGTTAAATAATTTTATTCCATCAGACTGGAAGAAATATTGTTTACTTCCTATTTTCAAACATGGCAAAATTGAACATGAGCCTGACTCTTATTGTCCCATAGCCCTAACCTCCTAAATAGGTAAAATCTTTGAACTGCTGTTAAAACAATGTTTACATTTTTGTAGAGGGGAATGGTATACTACCTAATAATCAATTCGGCTTCTGAAGAGGCAGATCAGTACAGGAGAGCATAAGTCATCTTCAGCTAGACATTTACAATGCTGTCTCTTGTAAAAGAAAACTTGTATGTATCTTCTTTGACATAGTTGATGCACTTAACAATGTAAATCTTGCTATACTTTCAAGTGATTTGATCTCCATTGGTTTTCCTGGAAAATTATTTCATTGGATATACACTTTTCTTAATGGAGGAAAGTTTATGTCAAATACATTAATGGTCTTATTGGCCCAAGATTGTGATATAAGGTTACTTGTCAAGGCAGTATTCTGAATCCACTGATATTTTTATAGTATATAAACAGAATTACCAATGAATTAGGACCAAATGTAAATACTCTACTATATGCCGATCATCTAGCTGTTTATTGTTCAGGACCTGATCTTAGTGCAATTAAATTAAAAATGAGTTTTGCCCTTATAAACTTAAAAAGTATTTTGATTACCTTAACTTGGAAATAAATGTCTCTAAAAGTAAAGTCGTAGTATTTAGTACTCAATTAATTAATGATTTTAATATTATGTACAACAATTATGCAATCATTTGCTCGCCACAAGCCAAATTTTTAGGAGTTATTTTCACTAGCAATCTGTCTTGGCAATCATATGTCAACTATATAATAGCAAAATGCAGTAAGGCTTTTAATGCTTTAAAAACTTTGGCAGGAACATGCTGGGGAGCTGATTCATTGATATTATTACTTCTGTATAAATCTTTAATTAGGAGTCATTTTGAGTATAACTATCTTTGTTTTGCTTCCGAACTCAACTTAATTGATAAATTAGATAAAATTCAAAATGCAAACTTACGACTCATTACTGGAGCATTCAGGATATCTCCAATAGCTTCATTGCAGCTGGTGTGTAACATGCCTCTGCAAATAAGATTTAAATTTCTTAAATTTAAATTCCTTCTAAAGCTCTCCTCCCTAATTTCTAAAATACAGAAAACAATTTCCACTTTATCGGGTTACACTAAATTTCCGACGATCCGATTTCTGGAATACGACTCTTAGACTGGGACATACTCGACTAAACAGTCGCTTACACTGGATGAAAATGAATAATTCCCCTGAATTTACTTACCAGATCACATCATCTTCACTTGCCAGTCCTTTGGCATTCAGCGCCTTCTGCTGATGGACCGGCTTACTAAAATTTAGATGGAAGTGGACGTCTCGCGCAGTACTCTGGGACTATTAAGCAATACCGAGACCTTCGGAGCAATTTATGAATTTACAATAAATACTGTTGAAGACATTTAAATTGTAAAGAACAGAAGAGTATTTTATTGGACAAGACTATACCTATTAATTCAAGATAAAAGTTACACTTAAAAGAAGACTTGACTTAGGCTTGAAAATAGAAAAAAAATTAGACATGGATTTAAAAAAAGACTGGGCTGTATGGTTCATAGACCTCTGCCTTAGAGGTGGGTGATAAATAACGTCACGATGAAAAAATCACGATGATCCGCCGTCAAACAGTATCACCGTGACTCGTTCTGAAGGAACGACGACGTTCCAAATTCACATAGGTGTTCTTCCGTTCCAATAGCTATTCCCGTCACTCACATCACGACATACGTATTTGATACAATGCGCGATCTCCGTTCCGTGGTGACTGCGCTCGCCACTCGTTGTAGTTCTTTTCAAATCGGGCCGTTTCGGCGATGGGAGTGAATGAAATAGGATGACTTTCTTTGCTCACTTACAAGGGCGCACCTACGGGTGCTTATTACTACTAGAAAAGGCGGATGAAAAAAATCTGCAGCAGTTATTCGTCCCGTTACTTAATGTCATAAAAATAATATTAAAAATTTGTTTTATTACGTTATTATAAACCTATTTATGTACAAAGTAAAATATTTTTGTATATTTGTTTTATTACTTATAGGAAGAATTGGTATTTTATATTTATGTATAATCTACTTTGTGCATTCTACTAGAAATATAATTACATTACACTTTATTGCTATTTTTAACAATGCAAAGATTCGCATTAAATAACTAACAAACAAAATTACATTAAATAGAAAATCAACTTTTTGAATGGAATTGAAACTTATTACAAAGTAAAAACTTGAATCATTCTATAAAAAACGGCTATAAGTATTAGAAAGAAGCCGCTGGCTAAAACCGTATATCGTGATGTAAGTTATAGGCGTGACAAGGTCACGGACCTAACAGTCGTGACAAAATCACGATGATTTATCACTGTGATTTTTTGGAACCGGAACGACAGTCACGGCGATAGAAATGTAACGCTATTCCCCATGTCTACTGCCTTTCCCGCAAGGAAAAAGGAAAAAAAACTAAGTACGTTCGTTTCATTTTATGTTAAAGACGAGTTCGTTTCATGAACCAGATTAGTGAAATCCCTTTGTAATTTGGTAGACTTTTGTGTTGTGTGTGCTTGGCCAAAACAAATTCTCCTGTTAACTTAGATTGATTAAGTGTTTGTTATGGAATACCTCTCGTGCCACAAGATAAACGTTTTATGTTGGTGTCCTGAACATTATGGATTGTTCATGTTTCGGGGTATTCATGCCTCGCTAGAGTTGTACTTAGAATCCATTTATTTAAAAAAAACCAGCTTACTAAAAATTCAAAGCTTTATTTGCAATAAATAAGAATAAAACAACCATATTATTTTAGCCATTAAGGGTAGCATTTAATTCTCCGCTAGCCTGAAGCTCTTTAATTATATCTAATCCACCAATGAGCTCTCCTTTCACATAAAGCTGGGGGTAGGTCGGCCAGTCGGAATAGGTTTTCAGTCCTTGACGCACTTCCTCATCAGATAAAATGTCAAAGGTGCCATACTGTACACTAAAACAAAAGACAATAGGTAAATTGCGAAACTTTTGCCTAAGTGTTACTTTAAGTGGGAGCATGGCAAAAAAGTTTTGACATTGGCTCCGCCCAAATTTGTGAAACAAATATATGCCTCAAGTTCGCGTGATATGCGACAGGAAATGTTGAATTTTGTGCATTAAAAGTACCAAATTCGTATTAGCAGAATAACTCTAAAACTAAAGGGATTAAAAAAAATTTATAGTGACAGTTGTCGATCATGCATAAATATAATTAATTATCTAATTGTTGTCCTAATAACCTGTAGCATTTCAGTGTTGGGCGTTAATCAATTAAATTTCAATCTATAATTCAATCAGATTAAAAAATCAATTCAATTGAAATCAATTGCAATTAAATCAATGCCTGTTGGCCCTTAACCGGGCCCCCAAGTGGGGCCTCCCCAACCGGGTCCCCCAACTGGGGCCCCAAACTGGGGCCCCAACCGGGGCCCACAACCGGGGCCCACAACAGGGCCCCCCAACCGGGCCCACAAGAGGGGCCCCCAACCGGGGCCCCCATAACCAACGCCCTAACTCACCCTCATATGCCCTATAAATTTATTATAATTGTCAGCTTTAATTGTTAATTGTTAATCAAAAACATTGAAAAGGTTGAAAATTGATTAATTGTTAATTGTAGATATTTGCGATTAACGATTTGCGAGAACCGCAATTGATTAATTGTTAATTGCGGTTCTCGCAACTAACAATTGATCAATCGTTAATTGCTGTTTCGCAATTGACAATTAATTAATTGTCAATCTTTAATTGCCAGAACAATTAAATTTTGCCCAACACTGTAGCATTTCGAGGATAAATCGAAAAAATGTGAAAATTAGAGGTCATTTCGTTGTTTTTTTATCTATCGAGGAAACTTTATTGTTTTATGTTTCTGATTAATGTCTATGCTTGAATATATCGTGTAGTTACTCATACAATATTTTATTTTTAATTTTAAAGTGGATATACCCCTCTAAAATAAAATCAAAGATTAGGAATTTTTCCTCTGCTCCGTCTTAAAATATTTATTATCTTTGTATAAAGCTGTTTCTCAAGAGACATGCCACGATTTTGCAATGTTTGTTCATTGATATAATTAATTATGACATACATACCCAGTTCCATTAAGAATTTCAATTAAAGTTCTAGTAAAACCACATCTTGGAGCTTGTCTTGTTCCCTTTATAAATGCCATAATATTGTGACTGTTGATCAAAGCCTTAAGCCTCTCCTCTAATGGTGGCTTTGAAGGACTCTGCATTGCCGCAACTTTTCCAAGACTATGAATTTTCACTTTGGAAGTAATTTGAGATGCATCAGCACCATCAACTCTGTCTACTTGGTCTCCATTTTTAAAAAGTATTACAGTTGGTACAGAGTCAACCTGAAACATTAAACAGATTATTGATTTTTATTGAATTGGATGTTGTTTTACCTTCATGACATTAATTTATTTTTTGTGAAAGAAATCCACTACTTTGTTATAATTATTAATACAAAGATTGAGCACAAAGAAAAATCCCTTTGACATTACAGGATTTGAATCTACTGCCATGCTACACTGTAGTGCTCAATCTTTGTATTGATTAATTATTAAACAGATTGTTAAACAATATCAGAAATTATTTCTATATAATATTTTTTCATGTAGTATAATGTATATTCTTTTATTTACACTATATTTGCTTTATTATTATATTTTTGCATATTTATTTCTACATACTGTGCCTGTTATCTAGAATGTATGGACTTACTAGATCTTCGCCAATACACAAAGTTTTTTTATAAGTAATCACAGACAGTTATGTATGATAAATTTTGAGATAAATGGTACCTTGTATTTCAATGAGATTTCTGAGAGATTTTCAGCATCGCACAAGGCAAAACTACTACCGCTACCTTGGATTTCTGGTAGCTGTGACAGTTCTTTGAGTACTTCTGTTACTTGCCCACATTGGTCCGCCCATTCTGCAGAGAAATGCACTATGGATAGTTTGGGGGTACTGAAAATGTTAGAAGTATTAATTTTATTTACATTTTGAATTAAATTATAAACATACAGAATGTTATCTTTCCAGTTGTCAATGTTTAGCATTTACCCTGTCAGATCTCATAATATTTTGTATTATAGATTTTTACCTTCTCTATACATTGATCGTTAAGCATGGCACATCTACTTTAATAGTGCAGATTTTACAGCACTTGAACAGTTGTCAAATAAAACGCTTTAAGATTTGTTGGCCAAGTAAAGTGTTAAGTCACAATAAATGTAAATAGTTATTGTACGTAGATGACCTCTTAAGACCTTTAGCACTATTAAGAAACAGATTACAGTGTATGGTGTTTTATGGTAGATTATTGAATAAATATATTTATATATAACATAGTAACGGTTTTTCAAGCAAGTTTTTAATAAAAACTTCAAGATTTAATAGTTGTCGAAACTTACTAGTGCTTTCATAAGCTAATTTGAAACTAGCAAATTAATTAAGAATGGCACAAAATATTTACAAGTACTTACTTATTAAAAGATAATAGTTTACTTACATACCTTATAAAACTTTTAAAATTCTCTACGGTCTCTAGGTTAGTGACCGCCATTTCCAAATAAGGTTACTTTTTATATATTTACTCCAAACGAATTGTTATTTAGCAAACTTTCATAAAACTATTGCCCAATTTATAAATAGTGTATTACATAAGCTAATTATGTTTCTAATCAAATTATTGATGAAAATCCTCAAATCTACGACCGATACACACCAACGCGTTTCTTATCTTTGGCATTCTTCCACAGGCTACCATTCTTCTTTTCAAATTATTTTAATCACTTTTCTTATCTGGGAACAATGACACACGTATCATACAGCCCCGTTAGACGAATTAAATATTATTATTATTATTATTAT